CAAATTGCTGGTGAGCTAAACAGCACATATCATGAGAATTTACTGAAACGTGACATATGTGCACTGTCGAAGTAAGTCAATACACTACTCATGAAGATTAACTAGTTAAGGGGGAGGCAAATTGATAGTGAAACCCCTACCGACCAAATTACAGCTCTTAGAACAGTACAAAGTAGACATTCACATCAGAATTACAAATATTACCGATTAATTCAATTTGAAATGGTCTGGACTATCCGGATGTTTATATTTTCGACTGATATTTGATCAGTCCTGATTGGTATATGGGCGTCCTATGCGGGTTACCTCGATGTAATCATTATGATACAAGCCGATATAGAATAGATGGAATGTAGCTAGCAGTGAGATCCAGGACGCGCGTCTCGCTCTGTTTGGGACTTATCAGCTACATGTACCTAGATGACAGAGTTGATGACCGTTCCGGGACTCGAACCCAGTACTATTTATTTATTTATTTGGACACATGAATATTGGTACAAGAGAGCGCCAATATATATGCGCCACACAAACAATGAAAATTCAAGAGGAATACAAAGAAAGAAAAAAAAGCTAAGGAGCGCAACAAAAAAAAGAGAGAACAATAACGAAGAGATTGGTGTAAGGTAATGTGCTAGTAATCAGGGAACGCAAAGGTACAGTCAGAAGAAATCTTTCAGGTAAGGAAGACACAACCACTTTTTATGAAGAAAGTAAAAGAAGGTTACAGCAGGATCGCCACTGGCTTCTATTCTGAGCCATATCTGATAAGGTCTCTAGCCACTGTGTAGCACCATCTCTCAGACCCCAACCAGGGAGTCGTGAAGGACCGACAGAAGCCAGTCCTTTGCAGCTTTCTTTCATGCCACGACACCATGTCATGCACTGACCACCTCTCCGCTTCTTCTAACCAGTCCCAGAGTCGGCAAATAATGCACGACGTGGAATTCTCTGGGACGACCTTCGGAGAACATGTCCAAGCCACTGAAGTCGGTGTTTCAAGATGGTGACACGGATTGCATAATCGTCTATGTGCCCGAACACACGATGCCGAACCTCTGCATTACTAATATGGTATTTCCACTGGATGTCACCAATCCTTCGGAGACAACGATGATCGAACACAGAGAGTCGTCTAACGTCCTCAACTCGGAGAGGCCAGGTTTCACAAGCATAGAGCAAAACTGCTCTCACCGACACGTTGTAGATCCGAACTTTTACAGCCAGACTAACATCACGAAGGCGCCAAAGATGGCCTAGATTGGCATAAGCCGCTCTGGCTTTCACTATACGTGCATTGATCTCATCACTCACACCCCCACCAGCACTTATGCAGCTACCCAGATACACGAACGTCTCGACTACGTCTATCTGCTCACCATCCAGAGTGAGTACAGGATTGGAATCCTGCCAGTCTTGTAGGAGTACTTTGCACTTGGAAGGTGCAAAGCACATACCATACCTACGGACACTGATTGCCAGCTGATTAAGTGCGGATTGCATGCCTTGGGCATTATCGCACAGTAAGACAATGTCGTCCGCATACTCAAGGTCGAGAAGTCTTCCTCCAGGCAACAGATCCACACCACCATTACTTACATTCATCAGAGCTGTTTCCAGAATGTCATCGATGGCAAAGTTGAAGAGGAATGGTGAGATTGGGCAACCCTGCCTAACCCCACTGCTCGAATGGAACAATGGAGAGAGGTGGTTGTATGCCCTCACTCTGCCTGAGGTGTTTTTATACAGGGCTTTTAGGATGTTAATAAACTTCTCAGGCACACCCTTCTTCAATAGACAATCCCAGAGAACAGTCCTATCCAACGAATCGAAGGCAGCCCTGATGTCAAGAAACACTACGATTGTTGGCCTTTGAAAAGTATGGCGGTGTTCTAACATTTGGCGGAGGGTGAAGATATGATCAATACATCCTCGACCAGAACGAAACCCAGCCTGCTCCTCGCGAGTCAATCTTTCTCGGGTTTTGAACAACCTACGAAGAATGACGGAAGCCAATAGCTTGGACGCAATCGGAAGTAAACTTATCCCCCGATAGTTGTTACAAGAACGACGTGAACCCTTTTTAAAGATAGGGACAACTATCGACTCATTCCATGACGTTGGTACACTCTCTAGTTCCCAAACCTTTGTAAACAACGTCGTCAATTCCTTAGTCAAAAAGTCACCACCATCTTTAAAAAGAGCCGGAGGTAAGTCATCTGGGTCAGGTGATTTGTAACGCTTCAAGAGTTGGAGTTCCTTGCGGACTTCCTCCTCGTTTGGTGGATCAGTCGTCACCGGCCATGGAGGGCAGGACAGTCTGACCGATGTTGCCGGAGCAGCAGGCCAGTTGAACAGCCCTTCGAAAAATTCTACCCACCGTCAAAGACGTCGATGGATGTTAGTGATTGGCATCCCATCATCCTCGCAGATTGCTTCACTCACACTAGACTTCTTGCTGCCAGTGGCTCGGATGGGCTGGAAGAGCTTCCGGTAGTTACCAGATGCAGCTGCTGCTTCCAGCTCATTAGCACGCTTCGACCACCAGGCTTCTCGGTCCTTACGCAAGCTTTGCCCAATTTCATTACGTAACATCCTTCGTTTATGGTCAAACTCACGGTCACCCGGAGTAGACCGACGGGCTTCAATGAGTTGTAAGGAACCAGAAGAAACCCATTGCTTATAAGCGGGACGTTTCACAAACCCACAATTGACTGTTCCCGCCATTTTCATGGCGTCATGCAATTGCAACCAATGCTCATCTATACTTTTCGGTGGAGTGGTAGCTAGCCTAGAGGCTAGCTCGGTTCGATACTTACTTGCAACAGAAGTTGCAACCAGCTTGCTAATATCAATCCTTTGCTGGCGGTTACTTCGTTGTCCACTGAAAAGTAAGGCAAGATTGGCGCAGATCATGGCATGGTCAGAGTCCAGATAGGTACTACAAAAGGAGCGGCAGTCTTTTACACAACCACGCCAGCGGTAGCTGAACGCGATGTGATCAATCTGAGTCCAGGCTTGAGATGCAGAGGGAGGACGCCAGGTGGCACATCGGCGATGACTGTGCCGAAAGTAAGTGCTAGCCAGAAACAGGTTGTGGTCTGTGCACAGTTGCAGTAGACGGTCCCCGTTATCTGACCTGCGACCAACGAGTCCCCATCGGCCACCTAAACGACTCTCTTCTGTGCCTAGACGCCCGACCTGAGCATTCAAGTCTCCGGCTAGTACCACAATATCTGTCGAGCGCGTTTTCTGGAGAAGAACACATAACTGGTGGTAAAACTCATCCTTGATTGCATCCGGGCTGCAATCTGTCGGGGCATAGGCGGAGATGACGAAAACATCACCAGAGTCTTGAATACGGGTCTCAAATAGACAACAAACGTCGATATTAAGACTTTCCAAAGACATAGCCAGCTCTATCTGTTGACCAACCTGCATAAGTGTGCGAACGTTGAAGGCAGCCAGTTTGAATGGCGCACGTGGTTTCAGAAAAACTGCTTCAGTACTCATATTCGATGGTAAAATACAATTTTCAACCGGACAGTGACTCGAGAACGTTTAGATACAGTCGACGAGCCGCTGTATAAATATAAAAGAGGGTGAATAATGTGGAAAATAATAATAATAATAATAATAATAATAATGACAATAATAGTAATAATAATAGTATTAATAATGACAATAAAAGTAATGATAATTATTTGAATCGACTGATTGTTTTTCGGAGCGAGAAAAGTGGTTGCCATAGACATAGGGTTCATCGTTTGTGTGTGGGCTGTGATACTGCCCGGGTGCCCAAACCGAAGCAGGTGGTTATCTTAGGGGGCCACACCCAGAGCCTTTGACCTAAAGGTCTAACCCACAAGGCAGTGGAGCATCGTAAGGAGATGCAGTCCCATGGAAGCCGGTGATCAACGATTGGTTCATACGCCATTTGTTCACTCAGGATACTGGAGCCCATGTGCAACATTGGTTTGGAATCCGGTTAAAGCGCTGGACATACGCTTTTCGTCCTCTCATTTTCGTAAACAATACCCCTGCCACGAGAAGGCAGTCGGTAGGACTTCCCTGGCAGAGGCTGTATACGCGTGGCCATGTGAGAGTATTTCGAGAGGGAGAGCGGACTCACCCCACTCTCGGCCGTACCAGGGCATTCGGGGGCCGAACCCAGTACCGTTTGCTTTAAATACCGCTGCGTTATTCACTTGGCTACTGAGTCCAGAGAGCCACTCAGTCGTGCAACGAGCATGCTATTTACCTCAATTTGAAGTGATTCGGATCATCCCATCGAGATACACGTAAACCAGGTCAACGAGTTCTAAATACTATGGAACGCACTTCTTGGATTCCACTGCTAGCCACATTCCATTTATTCTATATCAATATTAGCTATTGTAGTTGAAAAGAGAACTAAGTCAAGTAAAATTTGAAATAATAAACCATTCAACTGACATTATAGAAAAATTTATATACACTTATTACACTCACTTAAACACCAAAAACAATAATCTTTACAGGATATGAAATGAACCTCATTAATGAGATGGTGGAGAAGATTTGTAGCTCAGGTGGATGATTTTGGTGGTGTTTTGTTCTCTGAGCTGGACGGTTTGGTCGTGGAGCTTTCATTGTTCTTCTGAATGACATCAGTGAAGAAACACAACAGGAAATAAGGCAAACGATAGTACCGATAACTCAACAGATGAAAGAAAACAACCAACTGACTCCACAAGAACAAAAGGCCTTGAAAGAACTCAGAAATAGAAAAGATATTATCATAATACCAGCGGACAAGGGACGCACCACAGTAATCATGGACAAAGAAGAATACATCAACAAAGCCGAAGAACTACTCGAAGATAAGAGCACATAAAAACTGATGGACACAAATCCCGTCAAAAAATTAGACAATCAAATCTCAAAGACTTTAAACAAGCTAGTCAAAGCAGGATTAATAACAAAACAAGACCAATGGAGAATGAAATCCAGTGGACCAGTACTCCCTCGATTCTACGGTAGACCCAAAATACACAAACCAAACATTCCACTACGTCCAATAGTAGCAATCCCCGGAACGCCAACATACAATTTGTCAAAAGAAATTTCACGAATACTGAGACATCTAGTAGATTCAGCCAAGCACTCCATCAAATCCCCAACACAATTCCTGGACCAAATTAAAGATATTCAAATCAACAACGACGAACTCATGATATCCTTCGACGTAACAGCACTGTTCACCTCAATTGAACCACAGCTAGCAAAAGAAACTATATCCCTGCTACTCAACAACGACACAAATCTCACCAAATACACGACGCTTCAAATTAAATGTATACTGGAACTCATCGATTTATGCCTAACAACATATTTTCAATTCAACAACAAAATCTACGAACAAACAAAAGGGACACCAATGGGATCACCAATATCAGGACTGATCGCAGAAGCAGTGATGCAAAGACTAGAAGCCACGATATTACCAATGATCAAGCCAAAAATTTGGATTCGCTACGTAGACGACACCTTTGTCATCGTCAAAAAGGATGAACTGGAAAACACATACAAACTGATCAACAACGTTTTCAACGACATCAAGTTTACAATGGAACAGGAGTCAAACAACCAACTAGCATTCTTGGATATATTGATCACTAGAACCGATACAGGAAAACTGGAAACTCAAGTATATAGGAAACCGACCCATACAGATCAAATCCTCAATTACAACAGCAACAACCGAAGAGCTCACAAAATCAACTGCATACACACATTGTTCAAGAGGGCGAGGACACACTGCAACACACTGGCAGCACGAAAAAATGAAGAGAAATACCTGAAGGACATATTTCAAAAGAACGGCTATCCAATCAACTTCATCAAAAAGCACCAACGGCACACAGCATCAGAACCCAAATCAGGCACAAAAATCAACAAAAGGATCACCCTACCGTACATACAAGGAATATCAGAAACCACAACGAGACTGCTGAAAACCTTCGGGATAGGTGTGGGACACAAACCGACAAAATCACTACAATCAATCCTATGCAAACCAAAAGATGAAATAACAAAGGAAAACAAATCAAACATCATCTACAAAATAAATTGTACCAACTGCGACAAACACTACATCGGACAAAGCGGACGCCCCCTCCACCTACGCCTACATGAACATCAATTAGCAGTCAAACGCCATGATATCTCTTCACTTATATCAATACACGTGGATAACTACGGACATTCATTCGATTGGGAAAATGTAGAAATCTTAGACAGAGGAAACTCCAAAAACACCAGAGAATTTTTAGAAGCTTGGCACTCAGGTCAATCAGCAATCTACAAACATATTGAAATCAATCCAATTTATCAACCAATCAGGAAAATCATGCATAAATATAGGAACAAAAATCAAACCAATGGGAGGCACAACCAAAACAAAGAAGTAAACAATGATAAATTTAAGGTCAACATCGAGGTGCACAGAACAAGCTGTGAAACACATATGAAGAAATTCGAACACTTCACTTCTATCTGAAGTTTGTGCTGATAATGTCGTTCAGAAGAACGATGAAAGCTCCACAACCAAACCATCCAGCTCAGAGAACAAAACACCACCAAGAACCTCATTAATTTTACTTTAAGTGAGTAGATGCTAAATAAAAAAATATCAAATCTTAACACAATAGATAAACATACAAGCTACTATGTGTATGTGGAAAATATGTATATGATAATTATTCAGTGAATTATAATACTTTGATCACATACACATTAAATCTAGCTAGAGATAAAATAAGATAAATCAAATCAGTTATATATTCTTTTTTTTTAAAAACTGACATCATGAATTACCTCTTTTCTGTAGTCCTAATTCTAAGAGACGACGAGTATGAGAATGAGAAAAACCACAATTTGTTGCCCACGACAACAAACTTTCTAAAAGCTTTATTTGAGAATGATGTGGATCAGGTGTTCTTATACCAATAGTGGAGATTTTAAACATGTCTTGACATTTTTCAGTATTTATAAGACCGTTTTGTTCAGCGATACTACCGAAGGCTTGAGGTTGATTTGTGAAGGCAATCGACTAAAATTAATCATCGAAAAACAACACTTGTTTATATATATATATATATATATATATATATATATATAATGTGGCATAAATGGTTAACAGATTAATGAACTAAGAGTAAAGTGGTTGAAAGAATGAACTAATTTACTACTCTGAGGGAGTTACTACAGTCGTAAAGAGCTGTCAACAAATCTTTTCAATAAACATAAATGACTTGTTCGATATTCGTCAAACCTCATGACATACAAATGCTGAACTTGCAGAAAGGGAATCACTGTGTAAATTACACTGACACTGTGTGTTAACGGGAGTTAAATAAAACTTCTATATCCACAGCAAAAGTTACCTGATTTCCAACTAACTGAGACACATGCAAATGTTCTCAGGCAGCAAAAAAAATCGACACTGAAAACTACACTACTTTCTGTTGTTAAACATTCCAAACATTTGGTCGCTATCAAGTTTGCATGTCTGATATCAGCTAAATGGCTAGTAACAAAATGCCTAAAACAGAAATTTTAGGTTGCCCGGAAGAACTGGAAATGTCTTGGGTCACGCATTCTGAAAATGTCGGTCGAAGTATCTGAAATCAGTCAATGATATAATTAAGTTATATTAACACTGAAAGGCCATTAAAGAATAGATATGGTCATATGGTTATACTTAGGGCTCTAGTAAGGTGATGTAATAGATTTTCTCAGACAAATGCTGGTGGGATATACGATGAACATCAATAAAGATACACGAAAGAAGTAGTTATTCTTCGCGTTCACAACTAATGACACAATTATTCAACTATTTTCACCAATTTATCTTCGCCTAATGTCGCCTTAATTTCGCTTTATGTATAAATAAAATTTGTTTTACATAATTTGCTATATAGAATAAATGAATGCAACTTATTTACCAAGTACGGGTTTGAGTACTCAGATCTCAAATACTATTGATTTCAAATGTAAGTTGTTATAATCTCTTTCTTACGGTTATGACCCCAGCTATTCCTATCGCTTAGTATTCTCGGACACCGATTCACTTGACAAGTCCCCAAATCAGAACACGGTTGAACAGGAAAGAGATTATATTTCAAATAACAAGGTTAGATGGAAGTAAGGTGCAAGTAAGAAGCACAATAGAGAAAACGTTAGTATATTTATAGTTTTTACATGAGAAGATTCTAGAGTATTCTCCAACTATCGACCAGTGCTGATTGGTTAAGAATTAGCCAATCAGCGTGCACCAGAGCAATCGTGCATTGAGCATGTTTTAATCCAGTCTATGTCCCGCTAACATAAGTTTTAATTCATTTTTTATTGACAGAACCAAATAAGAACGAAGGCTTAAAGCCCTATCATGTTTACTATCTGGTAAATTATTTCTATATACAACTACAGGATATATGTTAAGATCTAAATACCACAGTGGTAACTTCCTGATTAGGAGAGAAATCCTAAAGCATGGTTACCCTTGCGACTGTAGGTAAACTCACGAATACCAACGAAAAGATTCTCTCGATCTCTCCCCTAAACAATAAACACTATGTAAAGCCCTACCAAAACATTTGCAGTTGGTATGAGATATCTGTTTATTTTCACTTTAATCTCGCATAGTGTGCCACTATTATATGAACAAACTACAACATGACGAGATTAGTGAAGGAGAATTCATATTGATATAGATCTATCCCACTAGTGCTTTGGTTATGGGTGTTTACAAATTTACAGTAACCATGAAAAAGATATCTTGTGTTCGTAAAACTCTTCGTTTCAGATTAGATATACCGAAATTTGTGCAGTCAGGTATCATCGTTACAAGTCACACAATATGTACGGTTCACACCTAAATACATTTACATGTGGTTGGTTTTACTTGACAAGTGAAATTAGATCAACAGAAAAACCATAGGAAAAATGGGATGCTTACCTTTATGCTATATGGAACACAGGAATTTACAATTGGCTTAGACAAATTTGTAAACCTTGTCGGTGCATTACCAAATCCAGGTGAATTATGAAGGCCATTTGAGATAGCTACATTTTGTGCACGTGTTTGGACTTGATGATCACTTATATGATTACTTACGAAACAAAAATTGTTTTGAAATGAATTAGCTGTTTCTGGAAATTTGCAAGTTTCGTGTTTGTTTTTTGAACTAGAAAAAGGAGGATAACTCAGTTTTTCTGAATTTACGGAGTGAGTATTCGAAGAGTTGGTGACAGATGAACCTTCACTATGATTACTTATTATATCCTTGGTTTTCGAATGATAAGGTTGTGGTTGACAGGAACTAGAAATGGAGTCATGCATTAAAATTTCCTTAAGTTCCTCAAGTTCATTTATTGTTTTAAGTTCAGTCATCGTGAATGGGTCGTCAGGTTGGATATCAAAATCTTTTAAGTATGTGCAAATTGTGGAACTAGTAGAAGAGCCTGGTTTCATATGAATTAACTCTGAACTAGAACATTCAGGGTTATTATCCGAAACCTTCATCTGTTCTGATTTACATAATTGGCTAGAAGCTCCACTATCTATTATGCTAGGTTCCAAGATTTTCCCGGAAACAAGATGACTAGCAGCAGGTGGAGGTGTTTCGATAACTGAAGTTGGACACGAATTATTTGAAGAACGTGACTGAGGATCAGAGAAATGAAAACTGCGTGGTAATTCAATGCCCTTTTTATTGCTTTCCTGTAATAGATTAGACTGATCTGGTGGAATTCCATACACTGATGTGGAAAGTGTTTCATCCAAATTTTTCTTTGCGTTGAAATACTCATCATAATCAGCAATAACTTGCTTTTCGTGTAAAAAGTCATACTACAAGTAAAATGCAACAAAAACGTTAGGATACAATTAAAAAATCAGGTCAAAAATAATATTAGGTGTTAATCACAAAATAATGCAATTACACAAATCTAGACAAGAAAAGATAGAATTTGAAGAATTATATATTACGACCTACTTGGTTTCACTAGTCTTTAGATAATTAACTGATCTAAAATAACAAATATGAGCGACTTCCTTACATGACATGATGTTAAAAAGAATGATTATCGATAAAAAATATTTGATTGGTCAAGCCGCAGTAAAAGGAAAGAGTTCCACGCTGACTATTCGAAGGTTGAATAAATTAGCTGGCGAGACAGAACCCAAACTCCATCAATTCGAATTTTACCGGATTTCGGTAGACAACGAAAGCTTCCAATAAATTGTTACAACAACTGTTCCTTTTAGAATGAGTACTGGTTGTTTGTAGACCATATCAATTTGTTTTTTGATTAGGTTAGGGTTTTATGGTCCCTGTCAACGTAAAAATGAACTGAAGAAGTTAGTCCATAATGACCTGAATAGTCCTGATACACATAATTGATGATGAACTAAAAAATTCAAATATATTAAGGCGTTCCGATGAAAAGACAAAAAGCCGCTACAGGCGGTTACTGGAACGCGAGTAAAAACGTAAAAGCATCTACAGTTTGCATTCTTCTGGTTGGAAATAGTTGTCTCTCAATTGCCTAAACAAATATTCCCGGACGATACTGAGTAACTCTAACAGTGAAGCTGGTTGACTCGATCAGTAAAATAGATAGAACTTGGCTGATTGAAGCGAATAACATAGAATATTAGTTGAAGATCTCACGTAAAAGGTCCGAAATTGACCATCTGGATGGATGCATTCATGCTATTCGCCTCATAACACCCCATTACATCGTGCTTGTTTTTTGTCACGTCCTCACTAGTATGATGATTTTCCTCTTGGTTTCTTCTTATCGTATAGCTAGATGTTTGCAAGCTGGAGTTAACGTGAAGTTGCTGAACTCCTTTTGATCTGATTAAAAGTCAGCTACTCAATTTTAACCAAATGTTCCGTCAATATAAATCTGAAAATCGAGTCGGAAAGTAGCCTCCAAATGCCCTAGTACGGTCGAGAGTGGGGAGAGTCCGCTTACCCTCTCAAAATGCTCTCATGGCCACGCATATATAGGCTTTGTCACGGAAGTCGTACTCACTGCCTTCTCGTAGCGGGGATGTTGTTTACGAAATTGAGAGGACGAAAAGCGAATATCCGGCGCCTTAACCGAGTTGGTGGATATGGAGAATTCACCTAGGGGAGTTGGAAAACCCTGATTCCAAACCAATGGTGCACATGGGCTCCAGTATCCTGAGTGAACAAATGGCGTATGAACCAATTGTTGGTCACCAGCTTCCATCGGACTGCATCTCCTTACGATGCTACACTGCCTTGTGGATCAGACCTGTAGGTCGAAGGCTCCGGGTTTGGCCCCCTAAGAAAACCACCTGCTTCGGTTTGGGCACCCGGGCAGTATCACAGCCCTCGCACAAATCAAATGAGATTTGTGTGGCGCATATGTATTCGGTGCCTTCTTGTACCAATATCTATGTGTCCAAATAAATAATAAATAATAAAAATATGAAGCAACATCGCTCAAAATCGGCCAGTTAGTCAGCTACAACGTGGGACCAGGCACATATATGCATCGGTCCAAGTTGCCACACCTCATTAGCACAAAAAGATGAACACCAAATTCATAGTAGTTACTTCAATGGCAGTAATATATAAAAAAAAGATTGCATATGAGGATATAGTACAGGAAGGATTAGTTGGTAAAAAGAAAAATATAAAGCAATTTTAATCTCATAGTTTAAGGGAAGACAGAGAGTGTATACACCGACGCCATTGTGATCGATTCTGTGCCATGTCACCCAGAGTCTCCAACCATTGGTTACGATAGTTACGCGGACCCCAATCAAGTAGTCTTCATCTACCAATATTGCTCAGACCAGAAGTTAGTGACTTCAAGCACTGATGCCAAGGTTTGGTTTGGCTGCCCCCAAACTTTCTTTCAACCGTCCCTAACACTAGTCACTATTGCACGCCGTGGTAATCGGTGTCCAGGCACATGTAACACGTAGCCCACCCATCTCAGTTGATGAAGATTCACAACCTCATCAACTGATTTACCATCATTCCCTAATACCCTGCATCTAACTTTGAGATTACTTACGAGATGCTGGTAATATTTATGAGAAATCTGTGATCAAATACAAATAACTTACGAGTATCCCCTACTTTTAATGGCCACGTTTAGGAGTCGTAAAGTAGGACAGAACAAACTGCTACATAGTACACCCATCATTTAGTTGATAGACGCATTCCTTGCCATCGCCATAGGTGGTATTACAGTGATCTTGAGTGCCGTTAGAGGTATAAGGGCACTCATCACTTCCCGGTTGCCCACACCGTTGAAGTTATTGTAGGGGTACCTGAAAACGAAATCGGGTTAGGGGTGGTCTTAGTGACCTGAGAGCGTGACCGCAGTGCCAAAGAGACAAGTGCTAGAGGTCGGTCACACACGACCATTTTGTAACTTTCGTGTTAGATCCGTACTTGTTGGGGCTTTACGGTCGGAGACGGATATCCGTGGGATAAGGCGAGGTGTGCATTCTCAGTGTCGATCTTTTTTAACCCCGCCCTTTCTTGTTGGAAGGCAGCATTGATGTTATGCTGGTTGCCTGAAGGAAACACCTTGACGCCGTCATAGCTCTATACAATCAGCAGTGCGACTCTGTTCTCGAACACTGGGTTTGCTACTTTTAATTTTACTGCTCTTCAATCGATCTGTCTGGCGTGGTAAGACCTTGAGGAACGATTGATCCAGACAGCATAGCTCGATTGGTTCATTACGATAGGCAAGCCCAACCACCACATCAAGGTAGCAGCAATGCCATAAGTGACGTAAGATGGCAAAAGCCAAATGAGTTTTTTGAATCCGTGAAGAGATTTTGTCAAGCACCAACTGACTAAGGCTGGTCGGACTTTCAAGTTAAGTGAAGTTGTTGACACGTTCAACTACTTTACTCCCTATCTTTAGTTTAGGTGTTGATGTAGGCCAGTCCTGAAGCAATAATTTGCATTTAGAAGGGGAAAAGCGCATTCTAAACACCCTCTCACTGTTGCTGAGTGCTATCAAAAGACCCTGCAGTTTATCAGCGTTTTCACCATGCAGGACTATGTCATCTGTGCATTCCAAGTCGATAGATGTACCTCCTGGAAAGAGATCAATTCCTGAAAATCAGTCGAGAACATTATAAATTGACCAGTGGTGTAAAAGCATTTATTCTTGTCACCCAACATATTTAGAGGGATTACCAACAAGTTACAGATATTTTGCAAAATATTTGTAATCCCACTTGCACGAATATTGCAGGTAATGCCCAGGAAACATGAGACAATGTAACAAAATCATTGTTAACGACTAGTTAGAAATAAAGCAATGTCTAAGATAGATCTTTTCCCTTTTTTAGTCAAATTGGAATTCGGTAAATAAGGAACGAATTAAGCGAAATTTCTTTTCAATTAGTTTTTCATCATGGCTCTACACTAATATATATATGATTTACAACAATGATATAGTACTCATCGAGTGGATAAGTTATATAATAGTAACATAATGGCATTTAAATTAACATTGAGTAATTGGAAGAAAGAGGATTACTAATATTCAAAGTAATTATTAAATCAAGAAGTTGCTACGTTGCGTAATATATGAAAAAGAGAAGGAACAGAATTTTTAATGGATTGTCAATAGAATAGTAGTTACGTAAGAATCAAGTGATGAATGTTGAGAAGTTAAAAAGTTAAAAAGCAACAGAAACAAAATTACAAAAATTTTTAAAAGAACAAGCGGAAGAAGTATGAAAAATAGTTCTTATGAAGGAAATCTTATAGTGATGGCCAGGGCAGAGAAAGTGGTTGTACGAATCTCTTTTGAATGCAAAGGTCAGGTTAGTGAACATGGATTGCGATGGCTTCCGCGATGCGCATAAGGCGCACTCGTAAACCATGTGACAAATTTGGTGGGATATTGTAGATAACCTTAAAAGCTTTGTTGGAATTGGAATTTTTCCAAGAAGCGAGTTCCAACTGAAGTATTCGACTATACATAGATATTTGTCTCAATTTGTGGTGAAGTGACGAGATAAACCAGTATACTACAGAGCAGATTTATTAGACAAGGATGCTACTGAAGTCGAAACAGAGATCTAGAATGTGAAAGTTATCAGTAAACTGAAAGACACGTTTTTCGACTGAATCTTTTGGGATAAGGATACACAAGTCTTAGTGCGTCTATGCCTAATTTTGCTTTTAAAATTTTCAAGCCGAATGAATAAAACTGAAAGCTAAAACCAATTGGTGGGACTCCTTAACGTTTCCCAAATAACAATATACATAAAGACTATATACTAAAATAATAACAGCTGAATGGACAGTCGTAAATAAAGCTATAGCTATATAGCTAGCGTTTTCACTATTACGTACCAAAACAGAAGTCATTGAGGAGTGAAGTTTTAAAAAACTCATCCAGATTGTGCACAAAGTAAGCAAGTGAAACAACAGTCATTTCAAGAGAACGGAAACAAAAGCAATACCTCAAAAGCCGATGACGAAATTTCATTTAAAGTTGGCAGGTTAGTGATGGTGGGAACTTTTACTTTGCACCGAAACTCAACCCCAGAAACCATTCTGGAACTCCAGGTGTCAAAGTTACATCTACTTTCTTCGTCCATCGACAGAGACCCTCATTGTTCACTTTGGAAGCATTCTAGTATCATTGAACCGCTATCCATTAGCTGTGGCGCTTTTACTTAAGGTTAGCATTCAACTCCCAATTGTTGTTAGAAATTTATTTATGATCATAATTGGCTTCGTGGAGATTACAGTAATTTTATTAGCTACATTTATGAGTCTATGTAAACTGTACCATCATATTAGTATGAAACGACCGTCCACTGATTCCAGGTTTTCAGTGGTGGTCTACCTTACATCGACTCATGCATTCAAGTATTAAAATCGTAGCAATCTATATCTGGGGTTTGAAAAAAGCTCAAATGGTCGTGGACGGAGTGAAAGAAACCATCGCTTAACGGGCTTCCGTGTCCAGTAGCAATGGATTGCCAATACCTACAGGTAGGAACCTAGGTATATTAAAGATACGATAGTGTTCATTTTTGCCTAACTTCGAAACGCTTGGAAAATGAAGCGATCACGGCAGCAAAATACTCAACGCATGTGTTTTTTTCAAGTATTCTACGTTGACGCGGACAATATAATGTCACTAGGAACCAACTATTTGAGTGTGAATCAGTTCCACTCTTCCTTACAACCATATCTTTAAATTTTTACTTTTTCTCTGAATTAATTGGTCAGAAGTTACTCTGAAACCAGTATTTTCTGTTCTGACGTATCCGAGTTATCCTCACTTAAGGGTAAATAAATACTTGGAACAAATAGTTTCGTAAATCTTCAGAATTGGTCGTGACCTCGTTAGTTTTTCTGAAGTCGCTTGGTCAAACATCCTCACAAAATCACATTTGGAGAAGCCGAGGTGACCATCTTTTGAAAGTGGTCGGCTTACACTTTATATAGTTCAACACATCGAGCATTTCCGTGCACGTCGCATCCCCTCATTATTAACTTTTTGTTTAACTGGCTTTGGGATCCTCGTATAAATAGGCGCTTCGGACGACAGCGTTACCGAGCTTTGTATATCCATGACATTAGTTTGTGTGATTTATCTAGCAAGGTGAATGATCACAATGGTTCATATTTGATAGCGAAACAAGAATTTTACATCCTGTCGAATGAATAACACAACAAATCCATTCCATGTTAGTCCTCTTCTAGTATGCTCCTGCATGTGTTCTAGTCCTCTCTTAAACGACTCATTCATACCGGGAATCCATGAGCACGTTCTTGTCCTGTTGTTAATGTATGAGAACAGTGGCTTCATCCGCCTGCTTAGAGGTTATGAAAGTTGGTTTTCATAGTTCCACCGAGATACATAAGTTGTGTGTATGCACTTACTCTGGATGAACTTGTGACATTCCACCTCACTCTCTGTTCCTAGGATGATGGCAAATTTCCCTAAGTTTCTCATTTGCCATGGTAAACGTAGGATCTCTTGCTTTATCCAGGAACAGTCGTGTCCTTTCCTCCTCAATACTGTTCATGGTATAAATGACTGGGTTACTAACTTTTCCGACTGCTGGGGGTTACTACATACCTCTTCCACAGATTAATCTGAGGTTGCTTTCACACTCTATGGGTAAGGTTGTAGTGGCATTGGGCCATAACCACACAGTCCTTAAAGCCAAACGCGAGACAAATGGGAAAATACATGTTCAATATTTAACGCGGAGAAAAACCCAACGATGGAGAAAGCGGGAATAATGAATCGAGCGGATTAATTATTTGGGTAGCATGGCTCAGCCTCTTAGGCATGGTCGCTCTGTATAACTTATTTTTACTCATATAAATATATTGTTCGATCTCCAGCCTGAATTTTTTTTCCATCATAAATTGGTAATTGTTACGATACGATGATTCACAGTGGACATTGATGTGACTTCCACGTAAGACAGTTACATCATGAAAGATCTGCAATTTTAAGATCAGGTCTATTATTAGAGCAGTACTAGCAACGAAAAAGACTATAATTCTACAATGAGTGAACGTTTTTTAATCACACTTCCACCCTCCACGCCCTACAATGAACCAGAGTTTTTGACTGAAAGATCATATTAACAGTGAATTAAATAAAGTGACTGTATGGCCAGTTAACTCTGTTATCTTTAAGTTTTTGCTCGTCCCTGTACGGCAGATCAATCTATTTTCAACTTACGGACCCAAATCAACAATAGAACCAAACTCCAATTTCGGTACCAAGGTTTATTCACAATTTACAAATAGTCGACTTAAATGTCGTTCTTCAATTTTGTAGGTTCCCGGAGCGAAAACTCCCGAATACCAAATCAAATACAAACCAAAATGTCCGAAAATAGTGATATAAACAAACAAGTTCAGATGTTCAGTTAAACAAATACATCCAAGAGAACAGTGAAATTAAGGATATTTAATATAAAGGTTTTATTCAGCCAAATGTCTTCAGTTCTCCCGTAACACAATGTAAAAGTGAAAAGTAACTTTTATAGCTAATATCATGTCTAATCAAAAATAAGGCCAGAACACGCATCCAGTTTTATTTGACGGGGTCTATAATAATCTAGGTCGTAGGTAGTGGGGGTGCTGTGGTCTATAAAAATATGAAAGCGAAAGATGTTTCCAAGTTAGTCCAGTTTTTAGACGGTGCACTGAAGCTATCCGGGTTGCTGAGCCTACTCGACTATGACTGCTGTTTAGTTAAGGAAAACTCACCTACTACTCGTTCAGGACTACGGCACTCTGCGCAGTTCGTGTTAATTTTTGATAGATAATTATTTCTTAGAGGACTTTAAGTAGATTTGAAAACGGCTCTTGCCTAAAGGTTTTCTGAGTCCACTTTTATTTAATTTTTTTAATTATTGTACGCTAATTCATGCTACCGTTTCCGAAAGTATTACGCATATTGGTGAGTTAATACGACTTACATTATGTTACAAACTAGGTTTTGGATCAAATTCACTTAGTATTGTTTTGCTTGTATCTTCCCATTGTTATTTAGGACTGTAATCGATCAGTCTGTTGTTGGTGCATAATGTGCAGAATGTGCGGATCCCCTCGTTATAGCCTTAGGTCACAGGCGTTTTAACCAGAGATGAATAGTGTCCAGCAATGAAATCCAGGACGCGTTTCGTCCTATCTACCTGCAGGTACATCCAGCTGATGAGTCCCAAGTAGGACGAAACGCGTGTCCTGGATTCCACTGCTAGCTACTACCCACCTTTGCTTTAAATAGTTTTTGGATCGTTATCAGAATTCTCCATTAGCTTCCGAAAGATCACTGACCTTTTTTGGAGATCACTCCTGGTAAGATCTTGGGTTCTCTTCTTTAAGCTTTACTCTGCTGACAGGTTGAACAACCACTATGTGGTTTTAAAGTTTGACGCAATTATTTATTTTAAAGATAGTCACTTTTAAACAGTTATTGTTGATGCTGTGCTTGTTGGCCTAGTCTTAAATGTAGAGTAGATTAAGCTTCAACATAATCTTTGTTAGATCGATTTTGTGTTCTGAACTAATATCCGTAGACCCACACTATTTGGGGTTCCTAGTGCTTCTTTCAACTCCGGCTGGAGTCCCTCCGGGGGCAACTGCTGGTTCCAAGCCCGGATAAAGGAGGAGGGTTGGGCATGGGGTTAGCGTCCCCATCCCGTAGAAAACTAACCCGCTAAAAAAACGCTGACCCTGAAAAAATTATTCACACCTTTTAAAATTTGCCCTATGTTGGAATATTCAGAAAAATATCCCAAAAATTATTCTGTTAAGCCAAATGCTATCCTTGGACATGAAATGGTATCATCTCATTGGTCAATATTAATTTAACGTGTCATTTTCCTACTGGTCAATATTGTACAGTGTTATTTTCTATTTTATGGTACGATGTGGTCTGCTTGATTAGTATATAAACAGAGTGTGTTTGAAATATAATGATTCATATCTCCGACGCTGAGACTTGTGTTCTGAACTTAACTAGCTGTGCAAGACAGGGAGGCGAGACCAATCAGAACCCTAAGCCGTCCTACGTGTTTGCGCGTCTTTGGTCCGATCATTAATTCCCTACCCTCCAATCTGCCGTCACATTTATAGTACCCTGGGAGTCAGAAGGTCTTCATTTAAAAGAACTATGACGCCTCATGATGAAAGCCGAATTCCTTCGTAAGTTACGAGGCCGATGCCCCTTCTGACAACCAGAGCGACCATTTATTTAGGTACATGGAATGTTCGTACTATGTGGGACACCGGGAAAGCCTTCCAAGTTGCTGCGGAAATGAGAAGATACAACCTGGAGGTGCTTGAGATCAGTGAAACACATTGGACACAAGTTGGACAACAACGACTAACTTCAGGAGAGCTTCTGTTATACTCCGGCCATGAAGAAGAAAATGCACCACATACACAAGGAGTTGCATTGATGCTGTCCAAACAAGCACAAAATGCACTTATAGGATGGGAATCTCATGGACCAAGGATCATCAAAGCCTCGTTCAAAACAAAGAAAGAGGGCATTTCAATGAACGTCATCCAATGCTATGCGCCTACCAACGACTACAATGAAGACGCTAAAGATCAATTCAACGATAGGCTGCAGTCAATCATCGAGATGTGCCCAACAAAGGACCTGATCATTCTGATGGGAGATTTCAATGACAAGGTTGGAATGGACAACACCGGCTATGAAGACATCATAGGGCGACATGGACTGACTGGGAGAAAGGAACGAAAATGGTGAGAGATTTGCAAATCTATGTGCCTTCAATAAAATGGTCATAGGCGGCACTATATTCTCACATAAGCGCATTCACAAAATCACATGGACTTCACCGGATCACACTACACCTAACCAAATCGACCATATCTGCATCAGTAAAATGTTCAGGAGGACGATGGAAGACGTGAGAACCAAGAGAGGAGCTGATATAGCATCAGATCATTACTTACTGGTCGCCAAGATGAAATTGAAACTCAAGAAACACTGCACAAAAGGGCGGACAACATCACAAAATTTTAATATGACCTTTCTTCGAGATACTGACAAACTCAACAAATTCAAGATAGTCCTCAGCAACAAGTTCCAGGCCTTTCATGATCTACTCAGTGGAGAATGAACTACTGTGGAGAGTAACTGGAAGGGGATCGAAGAGGCAA